AAATGCAAACACCTCCTTTTTTTCTCTATGCTAAATCAGTAAGTTCTAGAAGTGTGAAAAATTTGGTATCATTAGCTAACAGAGATAAATATATGCTGAATTTCATAAGATGGAAGTAACTGAAATGAAGCATCAACAGTATTTTTTTTTACAAAATTTGTTCGACGATCTTTTCATTGCGAGCAATGAAATCAAAGCTGGGAGCTGTTATTTACGATCTCCAACCCGTATCAACCTTAACCGTTTCATACCAGACCTAGTATTAGTTCGTCCTTTCGTATAAACTTTTTTAAAGAGAAAGACGTGTTAAGGCGATGTGGAAACTGTTCTGACAAAACCCCGCGTAAAAATGTTTCAATTTTTTGGGGGTTTTTCCACGGATTTAATTTCACTCGCATCACGTGTTTGACAAACAAAACAAACAGCGGAGAGACGAATCGTGTTCTCCCGACGGCCCCGCACGGGCGACACGACACGACGGGCATCGTGGCGAAAAGTTGCGCGGAAAATTCAGCGGATTACGGTAAGTATGAGAAGGGTCCAAACCTGATTTTAGCGTGGCATAGGTGGGGATTCCTCACGTAAACTCACAGATCACAACCACTGAACCGCTCGAGCGCATCGGAAGCACAACACTGATAACGGGAGCCCGTGCCGGGCGCGGACCGGGGATGGCGACCGTCATTCATAGGAGATGAAACTTTAAAAAAAGGTTACATCAAGGTCGAGATGTAGCGAATCGCATCGGAAGATCGCTCCGCGGTGCGTACGCATGCTCCGAGAGAGGCGGCCAACGCGACCGCAGCTCGCGAAGGCAGAGAACTCTGTGTTCGGCCAGGTCCAGACGTCAAGATGGACGAACTAGTTCGACGAACCAAAGAGCTCTGCAGCAGGATGGCATGATATGTAAGAAAGAAATGAAAGATTGGAAATTTCAGTGAAATATTTCATAAAATTTCATGATGCTAAGAAATATATCATATTTTTCAGGGGCTAGAGTATGCAACCAGCACTCAAACACATAAAAATAGAAGAGAGTCACAATTTTTACATTTTGCGAACATGAAAAGGGACCGGCATCTTTCAATATCTTTCATAAATTTCTGAAATTTCATGTAATATTTCACGTGAAATTTCAAAATTTTATTTTTCATGAAATTTTGTCACTCTGCTCTGCGGTTGCATAGCCACTGAATTTTTAAGGGGGGGGGGGTTGTCTCCAGTCAGAAATTTTTCGTGGGGAAAGTTGTCCTTGAAAAGCACGAGTAATAATGTTTTTGGAGAAAATTTTCCGGTCAAGGAAAATTCCGGACTGCCTGAACCAGAGAGCCCTGCAAAACATAGCCAGGAATTTTTAAGGGGGAGGGGGAGGTCGTCTCCGGTGAAAAATGCCTTGCGGGGAAGGTGGTCCTTGAAAATCACGAAAAATTACGTTTCCTGAGAACTTTCCGGTGAAGGGGGATTCTAGACCGCCAGAACCAAAGAGCCCTGCAAAAGTCATGGCTAAGCATTTCTGATGGGGAGGGGGAGGTCGCTTCCGGTTTAAAAGGTCTTACACGGGAGTTGGTCCATGAAAAATGATTTTGGGGGAGAGTTTCCGGACGAGTGGAATTCCAGACCCCCTTCGCCCCCCTCTCGACTACATCTCCGGGGCTTTGTTAACCCTTCCGTTTTCTCATAATCCTCACGGTAAAATGCGGATGGAATGCAAAATATAGGTATGCACAGTCGAGAGAGAAAAAAAAAAATTGAGTTATCGATGGGATTTGCGGTAGATAGAGCGGAAATTCACCCTCCGGAAGCTCCCTTCCTTCTTTTTTGAGTTCATATTTAGGCTAAAAATTTTGCCCTTGCAAGCTTTGCATTATCACACACTTAAATTTAAGCCATAATTGGTCCAATCCCAGGCAGGCTATTTGAAGGCGAGTTTTTTTTCTTAAAGAGGTTTTTTGACTCACAAGTAGCTAAAGCTAATTCGATGAAACGGCATAGTTTGACAGACCGTGACACAAATTTCGAGGAAGGCCTCTCTGTAAGGCCTGAATCAGGCCTGAACCAGGCCTTACAGAGAGGAGCAGTAACTCCATTCTAGAGTGAGCTTCAATGCACTTGAGAGTCAACGGACCCCAGCAATACTTTGCTTCCACATTAAGCAACTATTTTGACTCGCCGGCGATCAAATTGTATACCTGATGCATTGAAGGCACTTTGGAGGGGACCGCCGATTCATGCCCAGCTACCTAATTGATAATACCGTGTGCATGTGCCCATGCCGATAGTTCGCCTCCACCACGAGCAACTATTTTAACCTGCCGGAGATCAAATTGCATACCTGATGCTTTGAAGGCACTTTGAAAGAAACCGCTAATTCGTGGTCCAGCATTTCGAATGAGAGTGCAGTGTGTCAATAAGTAGGTAACGGCCTTTGTTTTAGACCTCGGGCGACTATGACTCCTCTGAGATTATCAAACACCGCGAACGAAATGCCTGCTTGGTTGCGGACTTGCACAGTCGATGTAGTTTACGATGTCATTGAGGCAGGTTTGAGGAGATCCTTGAGGTAACAGCAAATAAAGGACAATTTGACTAATCTTGAATAAAATTTAACGGAGCAACATCGGAAATAGACCGCATTGCAAGGGAAAACAATGATTTGCCACTGCACAAAATAAAACATACGCCAGAAGTACCGAAAACTCTGTGAAAACTTCAAGGAATGGTATTGATTTGTTCTTCTTCTTCAAAAAAAAAAAATAAATAGAAGCGCGCGGAGATTTTTCAAAAACCGCAAAAGAGATAAGTGGTCTGGTAGTTTCACCGTTGATATGCGTCAACACTCATCATCAAAAGATTATCTAAAGCAACAGCATTAAGTACCTAATCAAAAATAGACTCTGATACACTGTTGATTGGGTTTTCAAAAGATGCAACTATTCGGCCTCTGAGGCAACGCCAGGAAGTATCTTTTCCAAGTGAAGGCGTTTCTTGTGCATCGTCACTCCTCATCGAAGGATTAATCTCCAACGATCGCATTTACTCACTAATCTACGCTGACACGCTGTTGATCAGGGCCAGATTTATCTACTTGCCGCCCGTATTTTGCCGCCCCCTTCTCATTCGTTTTGAAACATCAGTAAAAACCATCAAATAAATGCGTGCCAGCGGAGGAGGGGTGTATAAGACGCGTTTACTCGTGTTGAACACATTTTTCGGGAAAGCCCTGATAACAATACTGGCAAAAGTTCAGGGAACTTTGAGCGAAAGTTAAGTTTCGTAAACCTATCTCTGTGTTGACAAGGCCTTCCTTTCATAAGAAATGAACGAAAAAATTATGGAAGAACAAACATAAATGTGGATTAACGATTTTAACTTCCGCCGCCGCGCGCCACGCAGACCGCACCGAGTTTGGCGCAATGCGTGAAGTATTCAGACAGTCTTATAGGCACTGTGAGTTTCACGCCGACCGCTGCTGAACGCACTGTGTTTGACGCAATGCGTGAAGTATTCACGCAGTCTTGTAGGCGCTATGCGTTTCACGCTGATCGCACTGTTTGCCGCAATGCGTGAAGTATTCATGCATTCTTGTAGGCGCTATCCGTTTCACGCTGACCGCAATGACCGCTCTGTGCTTGATGCAATGCGTGAAGTATTCGTGCAGTCTCGTAGGCGCTAATATGTGTTACATGTCGATCGCTACGCCGAGGGCTGCGTCTTTTCATCTCAAGTCCTCGTCATCATTTCTCTTTTTGTAAGTCGCGCCGTTCCAGGCCAAATTGCGTGTTTGGTTTCTCTCGACTAATTAAAGGTGCTTTCTCTTGTATCACTGAAAGACGACAAAATTAGAAAGTACTATACTCTCAGGAAATGAGAGATTTTGTCGTCTTCTCTCGTGTGTAATTTTTTTTTTTTTTATACCTACATTTAAAAAAATCGCAAAATTTGTCGCCCCCTATAGATTTGCCGCCATGGGCTGTGGCCCATGTGGCCACCCCCTTAATCCGGCCCTGCTGTTGACAGGGTTGATTGTGGTACTACGTTCGGCTTTGGAGACCCCTAGTAGCAGTGGCTGTTAAGAAAAGTTGTAAAAAACTCGTAAATTTTAAGAGATCTCTTAAAACCACTTGAAAATTACGTAAAAAGACTCTTGAAATATTCGTATTAGGAAACCCTATTTGGGGCTTTTTTTACATAAATTTGAGGAAAAATTTTGAGTAAATTTTACGCATTTTTTTTTTAACTTCCTACGGGCAAAAACGAGGAAAAAAAGTGGTGAACGGAAAATTATAAAAGGAACAGTTGGAGCCCATGAAAATTGAGGATAAAATTTATTGATTTTTACGTAAATTTTACGTTTTCTTTTAATTAATATAACTCTATTTTTTTACTTTAAAGAATTTCCCAAACAGGTTTCCTAAAACGAGTATTTTAAGAGTTTTTTTACCTAAAATTTACGAACTCTTAAAATTTACAAGTTTTTTACATTTTTTCGGACAACTTTTTGTAGAGCTTTTTTTAAGAGCCATTGCTACTAGGGATGGACACCTCCTCCGAATATGTCTCTAGTTAGAAAGAGGTGCCAACAAAATGGTCTTCTTTTCGCAGAGGGATCCATGGCGCCTTCTTGCTTAAAAATTAAGCTCGAATTTGTGATTTCCCATCCTAAGAGGCACCTGATGGCCGCACACATTAATGCCTTCTGATGCTCATCCGTCTTTTTCCTGCCCCTAGCTCCCCTATTTTTCGCCCTCCCCCCTTATTACTTCTATTTTTTCCCTCCTTCCTCTTTCATCTCTTTCTCCTATTTCCTTTTCTCCTTCCTTCTTCCTTTATCCTATCTTCCTTGTATTGCCGCGAGGCTCTGTCGCGCCTATAGCTCCACCCTTTGCAACGGCACGGTCAAGTGTGCTGAAATACTTCTTTAGAATTACGATATCTATTTGAAACCAAGTCCGAAGGGACTTCACAGTAGAATTGTCGGACTAAAAAAGAAAAGGCAAGAGTATAATTCAAGTTCATTGATTTATTTGTTCACTGAGGTCATGCAGTACAAAAGAAAATTCAACAATGTTGACATAAAAATAAAAAAGGTAGACATTAAATTATGTGGCCAATACTGTGCTTTGCCTTAAGATGTAGGTAAAAAATCAAGAAAGGGTGGGTAAAGGAAAGTCAACACACTTAAATAAAACTTACTTAGAGTAAAAGAATGAAATAATGCATTAGTATACAAATCAAGTGTCATGGAAATTCATCATCTAATCTGCTGATCATGAACACAACTGAGGACATAAACTTTTTAATCTAAATTCGAGTCTTATACTAAATACATATTCTCTTCGTGTTTACTAAATTAAGAGGGAAGGGGGGAGTACGGCATCACAAAATATTGCCATAGTTCCATTGAAAATGCAGAAGAGAAATCATTCAAAAGAGATCCAGACATGGAAACCATTTCCAGAGCCTACAAGTTTGTCTTTGGAAGAAAAAGGAACACAATTTAGCACTAGTTATTCAGTGCCACTTCATCTGCCCAACAACAAGAACTAATCTCCGATTACTTGAGAAACAAGAATGTTTACTGAATTTCAATCTGAGAGTAATTCCTGCAGTTTGTGCAAGGGTTCCATTCAGATGAGTTTGCAAATAATATTTGAGGCTTCAAGTTAAAAGGAAACATTCCTTTAAAAAGAGTAAAAAGATCCTACGTTATTGTGAGGTCATTGACAGATTTGAATACCATTAACATGGATAAGAGGTTTTACATTTTTGAAGAAAGCAAAAAAGACTGCAAAAAACTCGCCTGAATAAGTTTCCATTTAGGACAAGGGACACAATATAGGTGGAGTTTTAAGTGACCATAACAATCACCTGTCATCGTGAAATAAAACAGATGATTCTGACAGCATGGCAAAATGTCATCCCTTGCTCCGATGATAAAAGAAATTTTGTTTTTGGTTTGATAGGAGGAAATTGTGTGAAAAATTAAAATGCAAAGAGGTACTTCCAACCTTGTGGCGATTCAATGATAAAAGCAAGAAAGGCAAAGGAGGACATCAATAATGTATAAACTGAAAGATACAATCTATCATACATTCAAAATTACTACTTAACTTAATTTTTTTCTTTCTTTTGAAAACAAAATTTGTGCTGAAATTTTGATGCAAAGACATAGAAATTGTCAGCTTGGCAGTTTTCATTTCTGTATAATGGTTTCTAAACAATATTATCTGCCACTACATCCTCTTTCCAACAGAACTGATGCACTTAATTGTTTCCTGGGCAATACTCCTACAAAGTAACTTTTCCTTCCATAGACAGTCAAAATGACGCATTCAAGCTAAAAGAAACTATGTGCGTAAAGTTAGTGTACCACACAATTCCTTCTAGCGTAAGTACGCCTAATATGCTCACATGAAACAAAAACATGATTCAAGAACTAATCTACAAGTTATGAATTATAAAACTAAGTTTTTTCTATAAGAGGAAAGTTATTCTGGTAAAAACCTATGAAATAATAGAGAAAAAGACAAACAGAGGCTTTGGCAGATTTGGAAAACTAAGTAATAAATGTTAAAACTTACATAGAGGGCAAACACTTCAAATTAACAGACCCAATGAACATTCATGAAATCAACAAATTTTCGTTGAAGATAAATTGACATAGGTACTGACAATCATGAACATTTAAGGAATACAAAAATATAGGACAGTTTTTAGGTATACAAATAAACCAAAGAAACGAAAATATTGTTACTTTTTAAATGGTGACAACGAATTGAGAATGCATTAAAAATTAATTATTTCATTCTATTCTATTTTTTCACTCCTTCAAAACCTTTGAAATTCCTACGTTGTCACACATGTAAAAGACAAAAATAAATGGTTGAAGTGAGAAGTGGAGAACAAGAACCACAATGTAGGGCTGAAAGTTGAAACTTTTCATCAGCACAACTGCATTCAACATGCAGATTGTGAAACCCAACAAGAGATTCGGTAAGGAACAGATGAAGTTTAAAAACAATTGAAACTGAAGACAATATTTCTAAAATGAAAGTTTGTGCCTGAGAATCTGTGGAAACAAGTGAAAAAATTGAATGGTCTTCTCAGACTCCACAAAATAAAAAACCTAAATACTTTTTCCCAGCGTGAACATACATGGCCAATAGAAACAATGATTAAAGGAAACAGACACAAAGGAGACAAATATTCCAGCTGGGATAGACAATTTGACATTGATTGAAAGTCTCTTCTACAAAATGTTTACCTACAAAACTGAAAAAAGTTTCATTAAAAGGGCAAAAACCTCTTGAGAGTGTACAAAAATAAGTTGATAGTAAATGAGCATAATGAAGAAGAATCACATACTTTTGTACTCCAACAACCAATTGACAAAGGCATACTTGAAGCTCGTTCATCAAGAATCTTTCCATTCTACTGGCAGGAGATCTCACAAAACGTCAAAAACAACCACAAGTGGTAGTGCATAATTCTTTGGAGGGGGGAGGGGGAGTTAGTTTTCTACTTCTTTATAAACTCTGAGTAAAAGTTAAGTACAGCGTGATAAAGTTAATCTGGCTTACACAACAAAGCATGGCAAGGAGGATGCTTTTAGTGGCATAGAATGAACTTTAATAACTCTCTTGAGAAAGATTAAATTTTTAATGAACTGCATGCTGAGTAATCAAAAAGTATGTTATAAAAATTTGGAAAGTCATTTTTAGGTGGACTGAAACAAGACAAATTTTGAAATTCAACAGACATAGTGTTAAGCACTGGTCTAGTTATTTTATGAAAAGTTATTTTTGATCAAGAATCTACGCATTTGCCTCATGAATTCGAGATAAACATTATGAATTGAGCAGAAAATTTCCGCAATACGGGTGATTATGATTATTGTATGGTAAGGTTTGATTAAAGCTCAACTGGAGGAATGAAACATTTAGCTTAAAATTAATACATGTGAGTATGTTTTTGCCATCGTTTGAAAGGAGGATCCAAGTAAATAACTTACAGGACATTCAAAATAAACACATATAAAAATAAAGACAAATAATTTGGAAGTGATCAGATGTACACTAAACATTCACATGACGATGCAAAGCACTGGTTCTACTTAAAAAAAAGAAAAAAAAAAACCCTTCCAATTGACCACAACTTACAACATATTAACATTGCTCTAGGATAATTTTGAGGTGAGATTCAAGGTTAAATAAAGAGAATTTCTATTTACAAGCTTTCAAACTCTTCTTTTCATATACACAGAGTCTTTGGAAACAGAGAAAAAACCGGATTGGACGATTTTAGTGGTAAGTCAAGACGGATAAGAACAAGGACTTATTGTTGTCAGAACAATCTTTAAGAATTGAATTGCTGCAGAATTTTTGGAGTCATTTGATTCTTTTTTTCATCTTCTCTCAACTAGAGGAAAAGGTTGAAAGTTTGTGCTTAAAATTTAGCACAAGTTCATTTTCAGTTTTGAATTTTGATTCGACATTCATTCTCTGCATCCTGCTCTTAACATCAAAGGTATTTCTTCTTTAGCAAATAATTGACTATTTTCACAAGAATAGAGAAAAAATAAATTAAAAAATAATCAATAATGAGAAATGAAAAATAGAATTTCTGATGTATAAATGCAAATTCTAAAAAATTGTTTATGAGTCTACTCTTGAATGATAACTAAATTGAGACTCTCTTAAACCAAGAAAGTCTACTAAGATTGACAGGAAAAAAAATCCCACATTACATTGTATGAATAAAATAAAGATTCACGTCTTTACAGCTAAATTATATCCCAGGAAAATTTGAAAGAGGGAAATCAAGGGATTCTGCAATGCAAGTTCTGACGTTAAATATTCTACCTTATAAGAGATTATAGCTAGACTTATGCAACTGAATTTGAACATGCTGAATTTTTTGGGGGAGAAAAAATTAATAAAAAAAATAATGTAGTCAGTAATGTTCGCAGAACTAAAAAAAGGGAACGGTAGTAAGGCAATTTTGAAAAAACCGACCAAAAGTATGTTAAGAGCTGAAATTAACTTAGGTAATAATAATTGAGTTCGACCGTGCAGCTAAGGTTTAGGATCATAATTCTACAAACCATTTGAATTTTACTCAAAATGCCTTTCAACATTTATGAAGTTTGAGTTGAATAATTGATAATAAGAGTGAAAGCTAGAAATGAAATTTCCATTGTTAAAATAAGAAAGGAAAATTATCTGCAGTGATAAATACGTCCTTCAGTTTCCACTAATTTATTCAGCTTCAACATCACAGCTTCAACATCAGCAGTTCGATGAAGCTTCACATAATTTGCGTTGCGAACAAGACACATAGATAACCATTCAGGAGCATGGTCTTGGATCAATGACAAGTGCGACCTAATTTCATCTGAAACAAAGATAGAGAGTATTACATTCACACTGAAACAGAAAGATACATTAAAGGTGTGTTGCAGAAGTAAACTGTTAGAGCATGATAGGAAACGGAACTGCCTGATTCTATTCGGAGCTGATTACCGTTGACCCAGTCATCTGAATAAACTGATGACTTGTGTGTTTACATATGAATGTCTGATGTTTCCGCCAAATGCTAAATAATCTCAGAATGTTAAAAGAAATGTTGGGTTCCGTTTAGCTAACAGAAAAACCAAATGGCATCGGATAACTTTACTTCAACAACGCACTTGACGCTATGGATAAAAAGGATGCGGATATGGAAAATTGTTGGGAGAGAGGAAAACTGAAATGTTTCAATTTTAACGTTTTACTAAAGGGTACTCTATGGACTAAGGGATCATCCATAAATTAATCAAAATAAAAAAAAAAAGACTGATGTAATTTATAGGCGACCCCTAAGGTTCCTCTTCCTGTGGATGGTGACATTAGAGAACCATTTAAAACTTAGAATAATTTGTAAAGAAGGCACCAAAATAATTTGAATTACCTGATTATGATCACTCCAACACTCATTGGAAAAACTTAGATGCCGAACAATTTGGTAAATATGAAAGAATACACAAGCTCAAACAAACTTCAAAGCTGATAAGATAAGTAGCTTAAAATTCATCAGAATTTATATGTATGCATCATTTCATTAATCTAAAGGAAATGTAAAAAAGCTGTGATGTGATTATGTTAACAAAACAAGAGATTTTAAGAGAGTGAAGGACTGTGAAATGAAGAGGTTAAATACCTGGTGATAATTTCTCTCTGCAGCTGTGTTCGAGTTTGACTGTAACTTGATCTAGAGGTAAGACACTTTTCCGCTCTACCACAAACAAGTTGCGTACGACCCGTGCAATTTCAGGTAATCGGCTCAACATGACAGCCTTCTTGTTTTGTGCAGGAGATCTTGTCATTGCTTCAACAGCTCTTGCTGCTTGTTTTGCTTTGATCTGAGGGAAAATAACATACTAGTTAATATTATTTGCTTTAGAGACACTGAAAATATCCATGGAAAAAGGTCAAGGATGCAGAAACTTATGAACATACTCTCAGCCAGTTGCGTGCAAAAATAAGAAGACTACAAAGAGGATTTTGAAAATGAGAGGGCTGAAACAATTTCATCCTACAAAAAAGTTAAAATAGGATGGCTACAAACTTCTTTAGTAACAGGATCAGGATATGACATAGCTTTATAATTATTGTCAAAATTGTTTTAAAAAAACGTTATTGAAAAAGCTTAAAATTTGCTTGATGTAATAAAAAAAGCTTAAAATTCACTTGATGTGTTCATACTTTAAGTCCTTGATCCAATTAGGATTATTTATTTTTGAAACTTGGTCTGTTTAATGTAGGTTTTTGCGTTTTCTGCTTTGTTAACTCTTTTCTTTATATTCTAAGGAAGTTAAAATCAAAATTTTACTCTATTGATAAAAGCTATGAATGCTCTCAAAATGCATACCCAAGCAAGAAAAAAAATTGATTTATGTATATAAAGGAATCGGCATGATAATCTGAACTCTTTGAACTTGCAGACCACATGAGATTAATAAAGGAACAACAATATTTTATCCAGAAGTTTTTGACGGCTGTATCATTCAGAGGCATGAAAAATGCAAAAAAATAGGAAAATTTAATAAAGAAGAACTAGTACCTTATTTAGGAGAGATTGAGGAACACCTTTCAAGGCTTTGGAAGCAGCTTCAACTGCGTCCATAGCTGATCCAGTTGCGGTGGGCTTCGGACTGTGACAAGGAACTGAGAAACTGGGGAAAGGTTTTCGAGGAGACTCAATTTCAGTCTGACCTTCAAGTCTTTTTGAGAGGTTCTCAATGGCTGCGGTAACTTTTGCATTTGCTTTTAGAAGAGATTTAGCATTTGCTGCGAGAAAGAGAAAATACATTCCTTTTAATGAGAATCACATTAAAGTTGCCTGCATTTAGAAGCTTGGGCATTTCCATCAAAATTTACACTCTTTTACTCTTCTGAAAAATGATAGAACTAACGAAAGCGTTGATAACAGATCTCATGAAGATATACCTCATCATTTTGGATTTGTATAACAAATAAATTTGCCATTATAGAGCCCACATTAGCTTCCCTGTAATTCTGTAATTAATCCTAGCTTCATATTCTTTACTACTAATTTTAATTTCAATTTTCAATTTTATTACGGTTCCTTTGTTAATTCTCTCTCCATATTGCTCTGTTATTCCATTTGTTTTTCAAATGAGTCTGTATAATTGTACACCGTATAATTGATCAATCTTACTGGTAAATTAAATTGTAGAAAGACTACCTAATGTATGTCTGAGAATTTTATTGTATTGTAAATTACCTGTATAATACTAAAATAATAAAAGAAAAAGAAGTTTAAGACAATAGGTAAAAGGATTGATTGATGTAGCACACTCTGTTTGAAGTTGAAAAGGTGAGTTCCTGAAATTTTTGGTGTGTGCTGTCTAACAAAAGAAAAAATGATGGAATATCTTTAGCTGATTCTTTAAACCCTTGATCATAGATCCAGGAGTTAATTCCTAAAATACAATTAGGTCATGAGAGTACATTTTTTGGCATGGATACTAAACATCTCGTTTTATAGGCAGAGTATGAAATCGTTATGGAGAGACATCAAAAATACTCATTGCTTGGAAACCTGTACAGTGATGTAAAAAGATGCAATGAGCAAGATAAGCTACAAGTCATTATCTTGATAGCCCGTAAAAAATTAAATGAATAAGACTTGCGCAGCTGAAATGTTAACAGGTGAGTGATATACCTAGAACATCTTTTGCGGAAAGTTGATTGTTTTGCACTGGAGATACTGGGAGCTCCGCTTGAGGGATATCAGGTACAGCATTAACTTCAAATTCTGCATGCCATCGGGTAACTTTTTCAGTTGGAATGTCCAAGGGAGGATCAAGTGATAGCAAAAATTCCTAGATAAAAAAAAAAAATTAGCGATTAACAAAATGAAGCTTCTAATAACCATTTTTTTATCAGTCTTTAATCAATTGTAGACAGGTACACGTGAACAAAAATGTTTTTAACAGGATGATGCTACCTGCAGTGAAGGTGGAAATTTTCCATTTAAAATGTTCAATATGGCCAAGAAATACACTAAAAAAAGTTAGTTACAATAAAATCCGAACAAATTTATAACCCACATGTTGTCCACCGCTAGAAGATACTTGTTTGAAAATGTTCCAACATACAAGGAATTCACTGAAATAAAAAGTCTGAAATTCTCGGTTCACCTAAAGATTACTGCTGATCTTTTCAAATATTTCTTTGGTCATCAAGATTGATCCATGGGCTTTTCATGAAATTTTGTGCTAAAGTTGTAGAGAAAACATTATGATAATATTGAGATGTCCAGCAATGTAGCATCAAGGCGTAAATAGTAGGGCTGTGCGAGAGCTTGAATTTCGAGTCGAGCCGAGTATCAAGTACTCGACTTGCTCGAAAGTTAGGTTAGGTTCGAGCGAAAACTCACAATCAGCTCGAAAGTTAGGTTAGGTTTGAGTGAGTACTCATACTCAACTTAAGTGCCTATAACACGAGTTTTTTCGAGTATTTCGAGCTTTTTCGAGCCGGAAACGCCAAGAGCGTTCAACTCCTAAATATTATCATCATACTATTAACATTTTTAGTTTTGCCATCATATTCCGATTGTAAAATTACGTGTTAGAACTCAAAATTACTCGAACTCAACTCGGCTCGAGGATCATTTTCAAAGCTTAAAAAAGCTCGAACTTGGCTCAGAAGTGTAGAAAAATACTCGAACTTGGCTCAAATCCAAAAAACCAGGCTTGCACAGCCCTAGTAAATAGCACTTGTGATACTTCAGCTGGAAGGTGAAGATAATTCTTGCGAGTCAGAGGAAAAGAACAGAAGGTTTCAAAGCATTTTATTGTTTGGATCTAAATTAAAAAAATAAATCTTGAAAAGCTATAGGGCGTAAATGCAGTTTGGCTGCTTTTGGTCATTTCAAGCTTCTGATCAAAATTGTGATCTACAGCTTGAGCACCCACAAGGATTTAAGAGTGTCCCCTCTAAGTTTGCATGGAGCCGCTGAATTTTTATTTTCTTCAAAGACAGCATATGTTAGCATGATTAAGCTTTAACTTACTCTGTGATGGCGTTTTGTGATTTCAAGAAGACAATTGCTGAATTCGCGTTTCCTTGCAGCAAGCACAGTTGGAGTCATACTTGATTGAGCTTCTTGCAAATCTATTCAAGAGGCAATGAATGATTACTTTTTTTTAGCAAAATACACCCTCACAAAAATTAATAAGGACATTCACTAATAAATATAAAGTCGGAACATAAATATATACTGGATACTGACTAAATATTCTAGCTGTCATGTATCGCGACAGAATAGTCAGGATAAAACAGTCATATCTTACAAAAGTATCAATAAATTTTTCATAAGGTATAACCTTGTATAAAATACCTATAGGTTGACTTAAAAAACTTTGACAAAGACAAAAGTGCAACATTCACAAGGTGGTGATTTCTTAGGCGATCCTAGGTGATCTAGGAACAAGATCCACCACTATGTTGCGCGGATATGTGGTCTACATCTTTGAGAAGCAACGACTATCAAAATGTATAAATCAATGCAAGAAACAGATCTATACCATGTGGCAGCATTGAAATAAAGTGGAATGTCTTCAAATTTTCAGCAAATCATTAAAAATGAACTTCAGAAACTGAGAGTACTAATGTCGCTTATTGTATGGCATCAGAATATCTCTACCCCACTCTTTGAGTCAATGAGCCATGTCTGTACGGTACTTTGCGATGTTAATTTTCAATGAATATTCACGAATTCGATGTCAAACTACTCAGTATTAAAACTTGTGGGTATTAATTTGTGCATTGCGATAAATATTGCTTTTCTGGGACACAAACTATGTAGCAGCGCAATGTAGACATGGATCTTGCCTCTAGATTGCTTGAAATCACCTTAGTTCCTGATTGAAACAACTCTTTCATCCTGAATTTTTTTTAAGTTTTCAGGAAATAGAACAAGGAGTTGTTCATTATTAATTATTTCCCAAAACAATTTCCAGAGGAGAAATAATTCCAGTCTCCTAAATTCTAAGCATTTCACTTTGGAGAAGTAAGATTAGGTCATCTTCAGCAAAATATTCTGAAATTTTAACACAAAAGTGAACTCACCGCCATTCCTATTTTTGATAACTGGTCTGATTATAAGATGATATACTGCTTCACTACGTTTGCCGAACACTTGGTATTTCTCTTGACTGAACTCAAATGCTCCCGGCAGAACAGTTTTGATTTGAGCTAAATGACTTTCCGAAAAATTTCTGAAAAAAAGAAGAAATTGGTAAGAAAAAAAGATTAAAAATGAATACAACGTGCAGGGAGGGCAATAAAAAATTCAAATTGATTTACGACATTGACATTCATGATAGATGTATTGCGTAGACAGCCAAGCATTAGGATTATGCATTCGATAAGGAATATTAAACATCCTTGCTGAATATTGTTGGGTCAAAAATGGCTAAAACAGTAATGAAAACCATGTTGATCCCGTCATGCTCCCCTCAGAGCAAATTCATCATGGACTCTGACTGTGGTTGCGCCATTCAGTATATGAATTGTATTTTAATCTCTTCTTAATTTGTAAATTATGTCAGATTGGCATTTTTTACGTCTAAATACTTTCTGAAACTATACTTCATCCAAAAAAATCCTTAGGAACAAAGTCTACTGGGGACACAACCTTTCTTGAATTGATACGAGTCTGTTGCACGCGAAAAATGCAGTGAAGTGAACAGCCTTTCTGCTGGCAAAATTGCGCGAAAAGCACAATGAGCATATGGCCGACAATCAAGTTTGTACAGCCAGACGTTAAAAAAAAACTTACCCTAAAAAAACAAATAATCTCCCAAACTTTTTCTTGGGTATGATTTCAATCGATTTTGATCATGTTTTTCTTTTCTCATTTCTTGGTGTTACAAAAATATAAGTTCCAATTCTATAGAAATCATATGTGAAGAAAGCTTGTAACAGTTCACAATATTATTTGTTTACTCAGGTTAGGTTTTTGTGCATCTTTCCCTGAGTAATTTAGGTTGCCTATCTGTGATTTTGATGTGGTGCAGACAACTCAGCAGCTTTAATTTTTAATATTGCCATTAATTGATGAACTGAAATAAAATGTAGCCAGTGAAAATAGTGGGGATCTTTTATGGATTTTAACCAAAATTTTTACATCCAATGGTTCAACTTATGGTTCAAGTCAATCGAAAACACCCCCATAATCAGGTTGCTTGTTTTTTCTTGCAAAATTTAAAATATGATTTAATTGAAAAATTCACTTGAGACATGCTTTTGTAAAGTCCTCTTACCTCCGTAACATTTCTTGAACTCCAGCCTTCAATTTGCTGAAAGTTATTTTCTCATTTCTGTTATGGAACAAGGATGAGACAGTATCGACAGAGCAAAATATTTCAAATAAAGAGCGATATTTGAAAGGAAGGATGAGAGCATCTCCATTGACAAGAGATTCAAACTTCAAATGACATGGAACAGCTTTGACTGGCGATGGTCTTTCTTCCAGCAGTTTCCTTGGTGAAACATAGACGTTAGGCTTGACAGGACTGGTATAATCTAATCTCCTGCCCAGGCCTTTCTGTGGTGTTTTAATAGGGCTGCTAAATAGTTTCTGCGGCTTCAATGGCGATTTCACTGGACTACAACATATACATGTAAATACATTGTTAGAATGAAGCTAGGAGTAAGTTTTTGGTTTTTATTTACAGTATCTATTACCTGCTGTTAAATACTAAACTGTCTCTGGAATATTTTTTTTACAATAAGTTTCAAATGCAAAGTAAGGATTATAGAAATGAAGAAGCATACCAGGTAGCAGGGATGCGGAAACTCTTTAACCATGTCCGTTTGCAGGCGGAAATAAGCCCCAAAAATGAGTGTTAAAAATTGGTGGGGTAGCTGGTTTCAGAGGGAAAAACTCAGCAATTCGTAAATAAAAAGCAAAAAAACAAAAAAGGTCTTATTTTTTAGAATTCTGAAGAGGAAAAGGATTTTCAAAATGAATCAACCAATTTGAAAAATGGTAAGACTATGCGTTCCGGAACCGTTGCAACTCAGGATAATGCTGCGAAGTAAGATGAGGATGTTGTTTGAGCTTTTGAATGCTGTCCCATCCCTTCAGGTAAAAAAAATTGATCTTGGGAGAGGCTATGAATAATTATTGTTGATGATAGGTCTACTAAAAAAAAAAAAGGAATGCCAGCAAGAGATCTCTCTTTCAGTTCTTGCCCTAATAATTGTAGTAATTTATTTGCGAGTATTTAATTTCAACTCTGGTGAATAGAAATGTATTAATAAGATGATAGCCACATGTTTTGTAACACAAGTCTGAGATCAAAGATAAGAATTTTCAAGGATTTATGCAAGGTGATTATTTTCTCGTTTTATGCAGCATGATCAAAAAGTCCCACACCATCCCTGTCCCCTTGAGGTTTTTGCCCATTTTCAGGGTGGTCCCTTTAAAATTGTTGTTCCTTTGACCACAGAGTACTAGCAAAATTTCAAGTCTCTATCTCAATTCATTCAAAAGTATCAGTGGTGCTTTACAGTAACTGAGTTAACCTGGTGCTAGTGGTGCAGAACTTGCATCACCATGTGCATGAAAGTCAACTGCTAGTCATGAAGACCATCCTGCAACAGGTTTTTATGATCATCCTTACAAATGCATAAAATAAATACAATTCCTCTTTGTTCTGCTCAATTACGTCAAATGTATTGATAATTCTGACCGAATAAAATTAAATTTAAACATTAAAACTGAATTGAACAGGTGATTGGATCATACCTTACGGGAACCTCAATTTCAAATGAGGAGTTGGTTTGCAATCTTCTAGCAATATCCTTCAACCTTGCATCTCTGGACTGATATCGGCTGAGTGAGTCCTTTAAAGCATTGTAATATTTGCTCCGGTTGATTTTGACTTTTAAATCATTCAAACCTAAGCCCTGTAATTATTTGAGAAAGAAAAAATATCATTAGAAAGAATAGGAAAAATTTAGTGAAATAATGAGATCTAAATTAAGAAAAACACATCTTGCTGACAAGTATCATGAAAACAAACCGTCTACTTTTAGAAGGGCACACCTTGTGCACTCTCTTGAGAATAATATTGTTTTCAGTCATTCTAATCGCATGGAAGATACACCCTCCAGAAGGACACAGGAGGCTGATATGAGGTGCTCTTATGTTAGTATAGAGTCTTGGCTTCCCGTCTTGGATCTCATATGCTTGACAGGGTAGCTATCCTTCCTTATTATATATCATACTTCAGAGGAATTTCAATTCTAAATGAGGTGTAAGTCCACCATCTGCTAAAAATGGTTCTCTTACCCGTATGAAAAAAAGTAAGTTCATTCCAAGGTTGCAAATTCAACTCCAATGGTTCAATTTTAAAGAAGAATGTATTAGTGCAATTTCTGTCAAAAAATTTTCTGGTTTTTGCAAGAGATCAGAGGAGGAATCAATGAAATTTTCAGCTAAAAATGCTTCAGAATTCTTTCAATGACAAAACTCTTTGCAATGAGACATAAAGCAACATTGAAATGTCCTCCGGCTTTGGCACCTTGGTGACATTTTGAAGCTTAAGAGGCTCACTCATCAGAAATCTCTCAAGAAAATAAAATACTGCAGGCTGATTGTTGAAATTTTGTGTTTGTCGACATAGATGACAAAAGGCGGAGCGCGATTGGTCGGCTTTGTCTTACTGCTGCTTTGTTGTGCATTTGTCAGGTGGAATGGACAACATACTGTCGTAAACTTAAGAGGTGCCGTTAGTTTGTCGTGAGTTCAACCCGACATAGGCATAAATCCTCAGACACGATCACACAATATTAAACAAACACTACATTGCACTCACTTCATTGATTTTTTCTTCCAGTGATGGAGAGTTGTCCGGAGTGGATGGCCGCCCTACCTCTTGATTTGTTGAATTTGAAGAATTTGTTGGTTCTGGTGTATCCTAAAAATGAGCAAGAAAAATGTTAAATTGACAAAAATTACAGATTTTGAGGCGTGAAAGTTATGAGATTGATCTCTTTACAAAAGGCAGATTTCCATCAATTCGGTTTTCTTGGGATTAATTCTCTACTCTGCTCCTGATCCCCGAATTTGTGCATCCTCAAATAAGCGAGAGAAAAGCTTCATATGAATGATCTGGAGCACCCTGTCTAACATATTTTACTGGAGAAAGTGAGGCAACCACAGGATATGATGTTCATTCACAATAGAAAATGACTTAACCTGAAAATAATATCCACCTTAAATGACGAGTGATATTTCAATTCACAATATTCGTAATTGTGGCTGTACGTAAAATTTTGTCTTAGTCCTGTCTTAAATCATTTGAATTTTTTTAAAAGAGGAAAAGAGGCTCCCTCTCTTTTACCAATGAAATTTTACTACTTTTTTTTTAAAAAATTATAAAGCACGTATTTATACAAGTTTATTGGATGAAAGGAAGCAATCAATAAAAAATTGTAGCATCAAATCTAAGTATCCATTTGAAGAGAAAACCATGATAAGCATCATTCTTTTCAAGGAGCAACTGAGCTGAAACAATATTCAGAGTTACCTGCACATTTTATCACGATAACGTGAGCGGTACCTACTTTCCCTCACCATTAAGTACAACGTTTTCTTCTGTTGATCCAATGATACGTTGAAAATTGCTGATACTGAGAGTACTAATGTGATGGGTTTTGCATTATCTTCGTAATAAGACAATATTTTCTGCATGAAATTTACTTTCTAGGCCCATGGTAATAATTAGACAATTTTCAGGGGATGAATTAGGGCTTCAGCAATTATACAAAGAAGCAGGATCTTAACATAATAAACAAATAGAATTTGTGGTGAAAAGCACTCTCTAGGAAATTACCAAGAAGATCAAATTCTGGAGCACAAATTTTCAGACACAGAGACACAAACATGCAATCTCAGATAAATAAAATGTACTCACTCTGGTGATGTTTTCTTCCAATGATGGGGCTTTGTCAGGGGTGGTTGGCCGTTCATTAGAGATTGCAGGTTCAGGTGTTTTCTGAAAATGCGCAAGAAAAATGATAAGTAAATTTAGGGAAAGTATAGATTCCAACATGACTTAATTTATGTATGGAGTTTTAAGTATGATTGATTTTCACTGAGGAAAGATTCTCAAAAAAAACTAAATTCATTCTTTTTAGACTGGTAATTTTGAGGGGAAAATATACAGAAAGAAGTATGTTCTACATATAAAACTTCAATTTAGGATTGCTTCACTGTAATATTACAAGATCCTAGTTTCTGGTTGATCATGGAGCATGTTGCATCTCAACCGATCAAAAAACTTAAAACCTAAATGATTATAAAAAAGGACATTAGCCGGACAATTAGTCCTTGAGTGTTCGTAGTTTTGCACACATCTGAGTGACAGTGTTATCAACTTTTCATAATATTTTCTTAAGAATTAAAAGGTTTGATTTTCAATTACAAAATTTTGAAAATCAACATTTATTCAAAACATTCGTTGAGGGTTTTTATTTTCATTTCTATTTTCTTTAACAAGAAAATAATTTGCTTTTCTTTCATACTTAAATAGATCAAATTAATGAAAATAACTGACCTTAAAATGACTAAGTGTTTCAGAAAGAAATTTGATTGACCAAGACAAATATGTTATATCTTGTTGCACTACAGCCTACTCTTCAGGGTTGTAACGCTTATGATGGTATTCCTTAAACAGCTTTTTTACCTGCATGTATTTTACTTTTCACTTGACTATTGCTTTGCATTAGAATAACCAGAAAGATAGGTAAGAAGAAAGTTGCTATTTATCTAATTTCTCTTTTTTCTTACTGATGAATTTAAAAGTAAGTTGGACAAGAGTGCTAGAGAGAGATGACTTTAGCGTTGGCCAATACAGCGCTAACCAGAAAACTTCTACTAAATGATGCTCTAATTAAAAGACAGGAGGGAGTAAACTTGAGCTAACCCCACTTTTGTTCCCTGGTTTTGATGCACGTACCAAAATGATTTCTTCTTCCTTCCGTTGTTCAAGGATGGATTGCTGCTCTACCCTTACACAACTTGATGTCCCAGTTGCTTCTGGAGTTGCCTGAGAATAAAAAAGAAATACAAATTGAAAGTGCTACCCTTCAGGGAAAAAACCCACCAAAAACTAACAAAATGTGAGCTAGTTTAGGAAATGGCTCATGTATGGATCAACTCTTTAAGACCTGCCGTTTCTGTTGAAAATTTTACCCATTGGGTGTGAACTTGACAATGCCTCTGCCTTGATTAATATAAACACTAATGTTGTCATTGGCCAGACAGTTTCCCTATAATGCTTTGCATGCAAGCTATTTTGATTGGTACTATCTGATAGGAGAAGTTAATAATTCTAGGTGAGTAATAAATATATATCGGAGATTTCCGCTTAGATACAAGCTTGAACATCAAGGCTAGCAATCTTGTGATAAAAGTTTGAGATGCTCATAAAAACTCCTTAAACTTGAGATTGCAAAGATGATAGGGATAGGGATCTAAAACCACCAAAGGAACTCTGAGGTTCCAAGACAAATCAGTTTTAAGGTCAATCTTAAAGCGATTGTCTTGATGACATTGTACGTTTACCGTGGAGGACAAGGCACATTGGAACTTCCTACATTAACTTAAGTACGGAGATCTGAAAATAAAAGCAGTCTTTGAGCTTGATTCGGCTTGGGAAAAATTGAAATTAATCTTGTGAAATTAAGTGATTTCAACTTCATCCCTTGAGGAGTAGCAGATAGCACTTCCGTTCCCGGAATGGCGTAAAATGGGGGTTATTTTGAAACATTCGTCAATGAAATATAAGTTGCTAAAATAACCTTACCTCAATTTTCTTTATTTTCTTCAGATCAGCGTCATCCTAAAAAAAGGACACAAGAGGTAAGAATTCAGACATTACATTGTTGCACACACTTACTGAATATTGATAGAGTTCACACTGGATCAGTTTACTTACCTACTCATAGAGTAAGACAAAAGATCTGCCATTTTGATTCTGGTAATTACTTCCTATGCTAAATCGGGAAGGAGACTAATAGTTCAGGAGACAAATTCCACCTAGGGACCCAGCAAATTTTCGTAGACACTTCTAATGGTGCAGTGCAGGTTGAAGTGGTAACAAAAACTCAACTGTCTGTCAAGGACTATGGTCATGTGCATGATTTCAATAAAACATCAAGGAATAAATCTCTAATCAACTAACAACAACACGGCTCAGGGTGCAGTTACCACAGATCAGTCAACTTTCGGCTAGGATGTTCAATGGAAGTTGCAAAATGATCATGGCTACATTTGCTCAGTAAGGGGTACTTAATTGGGAGGAAATCACCCCATCTTGGTTCCATGAGAGCTCCTTAATTATCCATGGAACGCAGTGGATCAAAGTTACCTGCTCATTGCAAGCAATTATGCTAGAGGTTAGAATTGAATGTACTCCGCTTCAGGAGAGCAATCCAAGCGTTCCACTGGAACGCATGGAACGGGCTGGACCACAAAAGTAGACCTGGATTGAGCTAGCACATCATATGTTGAGAGAAACATTAAAGTATTGCTTACGTGGTGCCATTGTTATGTGGTACTCATTTGTGGTGCCATCTGTCTGCATGTAATAACCTAATGAGTGGTGCTAATTCAGAGATCAACGTTTGTCTCAACATACAATGCGGTCCATCGCGATCTTCAGCAGTTTAGATAACAAAGCCCTACAATTATAATAGTTAATGGCAGATGGTTTCAGAGCACAGTATCAAAATGATCCGTGGAACCACCGATTGTTAAGGAAGAACATCTGGAGAGTTAATTTTACATAAATGATACACATGAAATGGAAGTCGGTGCGAAGGAGGCAACTTACCTCAGCTGGTGGAGATTTCTGAGATAAACGAATTCGCTTGGCTGCATGCTCGACATTCGATGTTGGGGCGTCGAAGACTTTTTTCAAATCTACGACAACGGGTCTTTTCCGTGTTGGAAAAAAAGATTTGATACTAGATTGAGCCATGATAGAGGTAGACTAGCAAGTGACAATGAGGACACTTCAGGATCAGGGAGAAAATTCGGAGGCCAGATCATGCGTCGGGGGTGATAACGGAGAGCACTGATCACAGTAATATTATTCACGACACAAAATTAAACTAGTTGACTAAATGGTGATCCCAGACAACTCGATTTCAACAAATTATTGATGACACTGATGGTGGTTTCTCCAGAATCAGCGAATTGGTCTTGGAGGTTAGAAACTTGCTATTGTGTTGATGTTTTGGCGCGCAACAGGGGAAAGCCAGTTAGGTCGATTGTACAAGCAGTAATGTCACTACGTCAGTCCTGCCTTTCCCTCATTACATCCTCATTAGAAACTTGCCAAACCTTTTATCGAATAGTAATGAGTAAATTTACAAATCATTATAATTAGATCCTACCATATTGGTATTGAATTTCCCATCATTAACCTGGGACCAGTTAAAGTTTAGTGGCTCTATAAAAATTTGGTGGTTGGCGCAACTGTAAATATTTGTTTGTAAACAAAAAAACAAAAAAATTCAAGGCAAAAGGTATGGTCCTGGTATGGTATTGGGAGATACGAAATACCATTGAATGGAACAAAGAGTACATACATGGTGTTCCAAGAGTCCGTACCCCCCCCCCCCCCCCCCCCCCNGGTAACTTTAGAAGGGTTAGAGATAGAAAAACGAAACTTTGGGAATGTTTCTATCTCTAAGGGGACCATCTTCGAGGGGGTTCAAAATTTTCGTCCCTCCCTTAGGGGGGGGGGCCTCTTTTTTTTCAACCGGTAACCCCTATCTTGTGATACATCAGTGAAAAGAATATAAAAAACTAAGAATTTTGGCGCAAACCGCAGATTGATATCTTAATTTTTTGACCGAGTTATGATAGTTCAAAGGTCAAATTTGACCTATTTTCAAAAAATCATAACTCCGGTTCAAATTATCGTAGAGGAAAAAATAAGACGGAAAAACTTACCAAATTGTAAGCGCTGTTAAGTAAAAATCACAGAAATCACTTAAATTTAATTCTAAGGGGGGTTCGGACCCCCCAAAAACGTCAGTTCAAAGGTCATCCGATTTCCCGCAAAATGAGCCATAATTTCCCCTTACTTGGCCTCAACATAATTTCGGTAAGTTCAAAATTAGTTCAACATTGCATTTTCAAGTCCCCAAATTTTGGGCAAAGATTTTTTAAAAAAAAAAACGATAAAACCTTTAATTTCGTTTTTTTTTAAAAAAAATCTTTGTCCAAAAATCGATAGCTTCCTTTTATTTTTTACATTTTTCCTGAGATCCACGCTGATTCCAATAAGATAGAAAGGATGCTACCTTACTTACTTAGTCGTCAGCTGCCGAAGCTTTACCTATCCTAAAAATATACAAATGTATGCGCAAAAATCCTCAAGCTCATCCCTCATCAGCTCGATTCCTCTGCCTACTTAACAATAAATCCTCTAATCAAACATACGTGGCTCATAGATATAGATGAAGCCCCGCCCCCTTTATTTTCCATCAATATTCCAAATGTAAGTACCTACCTAGGTATCTTTCGATAAATTTTTTAATGCCTTAGAACGCTAGAGCCCCCACGCAAACTTGTGATTTTTCCAGAAATTCTGAAGATTCTACCTCCATAACCCTAAAATTACATCAGAAAAATATAATCCCAAAGAATTTTGAGAATTTCCCTGATAAGGACTTGGTTTAAACTCTTTTAGAAACATAATCTCAATCAAAAAGGTCAATTCCCTCAGTAATCGACTTTTTCTCCAAGAGTATTTGTGCTTGGCGCCATTATGAGCAAAGAGTAGGGGAGAGGTTAGTGCTATAGTGCCCCAGCGTGTTTCTGAAAATCTATTCACCTATTGCGAGATTTTTAGGGTAAATTTTTCACTTTTTCTTACGGAACAAGGATTGCATGTGGATTCGTAGTGGTTTTTCACGGGTAACACGGGCCGGGCCCCCTCCGGGACCCGGGCCCGGGTACCAAGGACCCAGTACCCCCGCCTTGTGCCGGGCCTGCCATCATGCACGCTGGGCTTGTCGATTTGCAGGCACGAATGCGCTTAAGTGCGCTTTAGCTAGAATTGTATATAGCAAATGGGTAATTTTTATAGGAGGATTTTATTTAAACAAGCTGTTAGAAATGAAAACAAAATAATATGAACTATGCAAAACGCTAATCCGGGTATCGGAACTTGGTTGTTTTGAAAACGCCTTCAAATGCGGCGTGACACCTCTCGCATTCCGGAGAGTTCAAATAGTTGTATCATTGCGCCGTTAGAAAGTGACGGAAGATTTAAATGGAGATAGCCTACATTCACGCTGGGCTTGCCGATTTTTTCTGAAATTTTTGCAGTGGTGAATCCATGGCTGAAGTGTGCTTCAGCTAGAATTGTATTTACAAATGGGTGGTTTTTCTAAGAGGATTAAAAATTATAGACGAGTGGTACGGAATATAAACAAAGAATATGAACTATGCAAAACGATACTTCTGATAACGGAACTTGCCTGTCTTGGAAACGCCTTCAAATGCGGCGTGATACCTCTCGCATTCCGGAGAGTTCAAATAGTTGTATCATTGCGCCTTAGAAATGCGACGGAAGATTAAAATTGAAATAGGCTTCATGCACGCTGGCCTTTTCGATTTCCGTTAACGATTTGCAGTCATGAATGCGCTGAAGTGCGCTTCAGCTAGAATTGTATTTACAAATGGGTGGTTTTTCCAAGAGGATTAAAAATTATAGACGAGTGGTACGGAATGTAACACAATAATATGAACTATGCAAAACGATAATCCGGGTATCGGAACTAAGCTGTTTTGAAAACGCCTTCAAATGCGGCGTGATACCTCACGCATTTCGGAGAGTTCAAATAGTTGTATCCTTGCGCCGTATGAATGTGTAGGAAGATTTAAATGGAAATAGCCTTCATGCAGGCTCGCCACATCCCATCTCGGGCCCTGGTACCACTTTTAAGGTCCGGGCCCCAAGCACGGAGGGGGGGGGTTCGAGGGGCATCCCTCGAGAAATTTTGGAATTTAAACGACTAATCGGAATCATTTTGAAGCTTCCATAAAGAATTTTTCCATCAAAATCTGCGGAATAATCTTTTTTTTTATACTTTCAGCACAGAATACTTGCGAATTGTTGCATTCAAAACATCCGGAATTTTTTTTTTTTTTTTGGGGGGGGGGGCCATATGATACTATTTTCAGTTCTAAGAGGGACAGGCCCCCCTGGACTCACCCTTCGTTTGTCTATGGCAAGGGAGTTGAGCCATGAGCCATTGAAGTCGAGGATGCCCAGACTGGAGAGATAGAAATTTTCCAAGAAGTATACTTCTTTGAAAATTTAAGAATAATTCTAGAGTGCCCTAGCGTGTCTCTGAAAATCTATTCACCTTTTGCGAGATTTTTAGGGCAAATTTTTCACTTTTTCTTACGAAACAAGGATTGCATGTGAATTCGTAGTATGGTTTTTAACGGGTAACACGGGCCCCCTCCGGGGCCCGGGCCCCGGTACCAGGGTTCCAGTGCCCCCCCCCCCCCNTGCCCCCCCCCCCCCCTTGTGGCGGGCCTGGTTGAAGTCGTGTTTGAAATGAGGAACGAAATCTTCAACATTGGGGAGCCGTCTTTGTGGTAGAACGTAGAGTGTCGCAACAAGATGAAGGCGCTTCAAGCCGAAATCGTGTTGGAAATGAAGAACGGAACATTCAATTCAGGGCTGGTGAGCTGCAACTGCTTAACTGGCCGTAGACTCTGCGTTCCAAAATACCATGGACCTACGGCCGGCTGTAAGATTTCCAATAGCTTTTATAGCCGGCTAAACAATTTCTTATAGCATTTTATAGCCGATGGCGACTAAGCAACTAACAGCCAGGCGATAAAGTGTATGCTAAACGTCACTAAATTCGGATGCTAGGACTTAGTGAGTTTTTGGACCACTGCTCTCTTTTTGGGCCGTAGTATCTTGATTTATTTTGCGAGGAAAGCTCCGTATGTTTTGATGGATGCCTGCATTTCCTAATATATTAAAGCGCCTTCGGTTTCGTATGATACTGTGCAATACCTCTGGTGTGAAATAGTTGCTTCAAGTGCCGTGGCACGCTGCGGTGCGGCAGGCAGGCAGCCAGCGCGAAACGCGCATTGGCGCCTACAAACCTAACAGGGATACTTCACGCGTTGCGCAATGCGTGAAGTATCCCTGTTAGGTTTGTAGGCGCCAATGCGTCGCTGCTCCGCTTTGTATTAGGCTCTAATATTTAATCTGGCGGAGTCAGCGTTATTCAACTCATGATTTTGAAATGTTTGCACATCCTATATGGATTATTTTCGTTTTAATTGATGAAAAAAATATGTATTAAAGAAAAATATAACGTATGTTTTGTAAATATTAAGGTAGTTCTGTATCAAACTTAATGATTTCCAAAGCACACGAATTTCTACACAATTTCCTATAGCCTTTTATAATCGATGGCGAAAAAGCAACAGCCAGGCGATAAAGTGTAAAGCCCGGCTATAGAAACTATAGTCCCCCTGCATAATTTTGTATCGCTTCGTATAGCCCGGCCGTATGGTTTTCTCCGCATTCTACAGCCAGCTATATGATTTTCTGTACCCTTCTTTAGCCGGCTATAAGAATTCCTATAGTATTTTGAAACGCAGCCCTTATCTCCAATTTTTACCAGGGGTGTAATTATCTTAAAAGACTAAAAAAGTAGGGTGTGATAACATGATAGTTTGCGGTGGAAACCATGCATTCAATTAATGCAGAAAAAGGGGGTTGGTTGTTTTGTTCAGGGAAATATGGAAAAATCAGGTAAGTTTTTCCTTCCAAGTCTGGAGCTAAGATTTTCCTTCATTTTTGCGTGATACCGCATACTTACCCACTCCAAAGTTCGAATAATTTCGAGCTTGATTTCCAATGGAAACGAGTTATAACATTTGGGAACCCTATGCATTATCCTTGATTTAATTCATTCTCGCATGGTTCCATAAATTACATACCGCTTGTGGGGGGGGGGGAGTTAAAAATTCTGATTAAGTGCGTTACGAAATGTATGGACGGATCCTAAGTACTGCAAGTTGTGTTTGTGGTTTTGGCTGTGTAAGGAAGTATTTTTCAGATTTCCAATGGGAGCCTCGGTAAAAAAATTATAATTTGGAAACACAACGAAAGCTCTTTATAAAATCTTCCTGTGTTGTGTTTTCTTAAAAAAAAAAAAAAAAAAAAAAAAAAAAAAAAAGTATGTTACCAGCTACTATAAGTCTACTAGTACTTACTAGAACTCTGGTGGTATATAAAATGGTAAATGCTACTATGAAGTCTGGTGCTTATTACCATACTCAGATCACTGTGTGTCAGTATGGTAAAATCTACCATATTTTTTTAGTGATTGCTCAGTTCAAAGTTGATGCGTTGGAGTTTCTGTGAAACTCGGTGCATCTATCAGTAATTCAGAGCAAGACAGTGGCGAGGCATGAATGATCGCTATCGATATTTCCCCGTTTGAGGTGTGGTAAAGAATCGATTATTAGGGTGTTCGCTGCGAACACCCTAATAATCGATCCTTTTCCATAGATTAATATGGTAAATCAATCGATATATCGCAAAGCACACCACGCCTCTGGAGCAAGAGGGTCGTGACTAACTTTTTCTCTTTTGAGATATCACGAGAAAACTACCCAAGGGCCAGCTTTTAGAGAGTGAAATAACGCCAGGTTGTTTGATCAATTTCATTTTACTTATTTACTTTCAGTCTTTACAAAAAAAAGTGTACAATAAGAGGAGCTCTGTCACTTGAAAGTTTTCAGATACCTCCTCCAATAATGAAATAAAACGATTTAATACATTCATCAATCAACATATATAAATAAATAATAAAACAAAAGTTATAAAAAATATCACTACCTAACTAGCTAACATCATCAGTTATTTAAACTGAGATAAAGGAAAATCATGAGACAGAGACAATTAATAGGGCTTAGAGCTCTGAGAACAACTGCACACTCGTAGGAGATTGAAGTCGGAGCACCCATGTCAAATTCGGACACCGATTTTTCGTTTTTTCTCTTTGTGATTAGATTTTTTTTTGTCGTATTGTGTAGCTCACCCGAATAGGTGTAAATTGGTAGCAAGGAATATTCACATTTAGCTGAAACATATGTACCTACTTAAAGAAACCTTCGAAGCTAGATGAACATCATCATGGAAGAACGCTTTGGCAACTTGCTTCAATACACGTAATAAAGCAGGGACATTACTAATTATCAGAATTATGAACGGAACATTTACACAATAAAATATTTTGCTCCGGCCCATTTGCACGCCTGGGGTAATCTTCCATTAGATCACGTGCCAACGTTTGACTCAGTAAATTGCAAAAACGTGAACCAGTTGCGCAAACTCCCAATTTTTTCCCGCTCACCTATCTTTTTTTTTTTTTGACAACCTAGTCGTGTCAACTTGTTTCAAACTGATCTGTTGATTGAGGCAACAAATCATTTTAGGGAATGATAATTTTTGTACATCTCTGAAAAATTCATTTAAAAGAAAGAAAGAAAAAAAGTCTGATAACCACGACGAAAGGTTGTTAAACTATAGCCATCAGTAGCTGTTGGTCGCATTAAATTTGGTTTCAAGAGTAGACAAAATAGTGAAACATCTTAAATTACACATAGCTAATCACTTAAATGACCTAGATACCTGTTCTCAATCCATCTCAAGTATAATTAACAAAGGAGGTTGCATCCTGCAAAATTTAAAGAACTAAATTTACAGAACGGGCTTTTTATCTATCTTAGGCAAAATAGTTGCACACGTATTATTTATCAGAAGTAACGTCTCAGATGGTAGCAAGCTATTTTGTATTTTCCCCCTTTTTGCATTTTTATGTTTCTTTGAAGAGGCTAAATTAATATTTACAATTGAATGATCTTCAGCAGCAATGAGACTACATATTTGGACAACTGGAATTGTGATTGCTTTTCATATTACCTACTCTTCCTCTCTGTATTTTTGCCCCATGCACTTTTGTTTTTTGGTGTGACAGGTATTTATTGCCAAATTAAATAAATTATTAGTTCGGTAGGCACTCAGCCTGGCATTTTCCTCTCGTTTTCTCTTAAGAAGAACCATAGTTTTTTCCATTAAACGGCTCCCAAAAATCTAGACGATGCAGAGACAAATTTCGAAATGGATATTGAAGCTCAGAAAAGATCAGAGCCTGCGTTTATTCAGTTTGATAAAAAAATCAGAACTTGTGCTACAGTTCTGCAATTAATCGCCTCGAAATAATGACTAGTGTAATAAGATGGAGAGTAGGTTCACAATTCCAAAGGAAATTACTCTAATTAATTCAAAGCTGCTGCTTCATTTACAATACAGTTTCAAATTTAATGGCTACTTTAAGACTCTAGGAATACTTGAAATGACTGTGTTTGACACATTCATAATCTCATGCCATATAATGTACAAAATTAACAATTCACTTTATGTATACAATAAGTAAATGTTTTAACACAAAAATAAAGAAAACACAATACACGTTCCTTGTTCAGAAAGCACATGACAGACACTATGAAATTCTATAAAAGATAACAAAAGTACATATCGACCGGGGCAGTAGAATTTCGGGTAAGCAAGAATTGTACATATCACCGGAAGTCGTGCATGAAACCAGGGATATCGAAATTTGATTTAATAAAGAGATCAAATGATTACTTACTCATTGTAATCAAGTTCAATGCTTGAGGTATTTTTCTTTCTGTTCACCTCTGTCAGAAAATTGAGCTCTCCAAAATTAGTTGAGTCTGTTTGGGAATATGATTTCGGAAGGTGTAGGTACCCAGATACCTTAAACAAGTTTTCCGGCCGGGTATTCACACATAATTTGACCTGAGACTTTCATTTAATTTTCGTATTTTCATACATGCTTCATGAGATATTAAAAAATTAGGAATGCGGCTTTTTAAAACTTTTGAAGATTACATTCATAAATTCGGGGGGGGGGGGGNGTATTTCTTTCGATTTTTTTTTTCTTTTTTAGAAATCTAATGACTGGAACAACTGGAAAAACTGGAAAGCACCCAATAAAATAATCTAAACCCTAATTCTCTGTAGAAACGGCTTGTTCATTGCCAGGAAAAAATTATTATGTTGAAATACGACTTGCAATTTAATGTAATCAGATATTAAAACTACTTTAAATATTTGATCTGAGGTGAAGGATGAATTTTTCGTCACCCATTAACTGTATTGCAAACTATTTCGCGTCACAGGTCGCTCAGAAGAGTGCTGTGTGAAACCTGTCCCTTTACCTATCTCTGGAAGTTTTGCATCAGACTCTGATGTTTTACATGCTCAGAGCTTACAAATAAGAATGCACCCAAAGAGAGAGAATAATATTGAAAACAATCATTCAAATTCCACCGGAGTAATGGCTTAAGATCACTTTAAGAGAGGCTTTGAGAATCCTTAGAATCACACCGGAAAAGATAATCGTGATTATGTTGCATGTAGGCGATCATACTTGGCCGGCTGTTCTGTGATGCCGAGTTAGTAGCTGACTGCGCAAAAAGAACACCTTGATACATAATTCCGTTGATGTCCATACTCACAACAAGTGAGCTGTTGTTGGACCCCGGTCGACTGCTCTCATCACCTGCAACAGATAAAATCATACAAAGGTTATTCCAATGAATTGTGATTCAAATTCGATGGCGAGGTATTATGAATGTTTGAGGGACCACACATTTTAAATTTTCTCGGCTGTCCGCAGGAGGATTTTGTCAAATGGTAAGTTTTCACGAGCAAATTAAGAGCTTTAAGGCTCATTTCAAAATCAACGGCAGAAAGGATATTCCTCCATGCAATGCAACTTCCTGGAGTAGGTTCGGGAAAATGTCGGTGCAAGTTGAAGAAGAGGTATGTTACAGTACAGGGCCCAGGTGGAGATTTTGAAATACCGCCATCTGATAGTGACAAGTGCGCTTTTCCACGCAGTAAAAAAATTAAAATAATCGAAGAAAAAAGGAGGAGAGAAAAGATTGAAATGACTTCGAGTTGGCAGTTGGCAGAATGAGCGAGACCCTTGATTCTAATCATAAATTTTTGTTCCATTCGAGCGTAAAAAGCGTGAAAGAGTCGCGCGCGAATTTCATCAGATGGAGCATCCACGAAGTTGCCGTTCAGCTTAAAATATACTACACTTGTCAAGCATCTAAAATGTAAATTTAGGAAGTTAGATCGGACTTGGCAATCGTGCATGCGGGTGGAGGCTTGCAAGTTTTAATTAGATTTAGGTGTATTTATATAGAAACGTTTTAAAAATGAGTACGACTTCAGTTTTATTTCGATTCTACGAACAATTCACAGGGTGTTTCATAGACTCTCGTCCATGGTTACGATCATGAGTGAGGGGAAGATTGAACCCTGAAATTGTTTTTTCATCGTGAATCGAACCGAAAACCCGTTGTTGTTGAAACCAACAGGGTGCTCGTCATTACGTTACGAATAACGCATTATATTTTAATTATTTTACATACATAAAGCCGCTTTTATAGAGCCGCCTCGCGCTCTGCAACGCCCAATCGTCATTGCCCCCTATCCTCCCAGAGATCATCAGGCAATTGGCACCTTCTGATCTCCTCCTCCACCCCTTGTCGCCAACCTTTCACAGGACGTCCACGCCGTCGCCTTATTAAAAAATTAAAAATAATTATTAATTATTTTTATTAAGGGAAAAAAACGGAATCATCGCCTCTCGCAAATTTGTGCCTTGATACCGATCATTCATTTTTTTTCTATTTCATCACTGTTAAATTGGTCAGAGAATGTGAGGCACAGGACAACTATCTCTTAGGCTTCTTCTTTTCTCCGATATACATAGAGGGCTTATAAAACAGAGGAAATTAAAACTTCCAAAATTAAGTTGTCAGTAAAAATCAGGGTTAGTCGTTTAAAAAAAAAATTACCACACAGGAGAATTTTTCAATCGAAAAATTCACCGAAATAAGTCTCGAACCCAATTTGACTTGAGTAAACTTTAGTTTGTTGCGAGAGGGAAATTATTCAAAACTGCACTAATTATTCAATTAGACTGACAATAGTTGCATTAAAGCATTAAAAAAACGTCATATTATTATGATCCTTTATGCATTGAATTTGGAAAGATTCAATGTGTCCATCGTATTATCCATAAAATTTCTACAAGGAAACGTGTGTATTGCAGTGTCTAATTTCGCATCCCACCGAGTGATCCATTCAATGCTCATCATATTTGTACCACAGCCGCGTACAATTGTACACAAGCAGCTCATGGACAGAAGCCATCTCCTCTCCGAAGAACCATCAAACGACACCGTAGTTCACTTTGCATGTAAAAATAGACCTATTTTCAACTCAGTGACAGGATGGGTTGCCCGGGGTCGCGCAGGCACTGATTCAAAAGATGCGTGTAATTCGAAATACACACAATTATATTTCGTGTCAACGTTGATTACTCATTTTTTGAGGAGCAAATGAATCACACGAATATTAACAAATCTAATAACATTTTGCGTCTGGTATGCTCATCACGTTCAACACTAACTTTGTCGGTTATTACCTATTGCCCCGCTGTTTCCTCGGTTCTTCTTTCATATTCTCAATTCATTTCATCTCATACACTCTTAAATCTGAATTTTCTCTATTTTCTACTTATTTGCTAGTTTCATCGTTTTGTAAAGATAGGTTAAAGGTAGGTCCACTCTTTCTCAAAGGAAACCAAAGTTGCACGAAGGCAAGATTGCAAAATCGCCACTGTGCCAGAGGAGCTTCTTTAGGTATTTGTGCTAAGTCCCCGAGTGTGAAACAAGTGTTGAAAAAACGTTGAATAAATGATTAAATGCTGCGTTAAGTAGATTTTTTAAAACCGCGGTAGGTCACGTTAATCATAATGGACACACAAGTTCACAAAATTACCAGAGGGTATCTCCGAAGAGTCTAAGAAATCTAGCAAGTGAGCATCACTACTAATTTTAATTTATGGAAAACGCGGAGCATCATAACCGCGGTATCCATTTTGAAGCGATCCTTATTGAAAGACCCATTGTCAACCGCTTTTTCATATTCGAGGGAGCAGTGGCGTGGCGTGCGTGGCGATATATCGATTGATCGGTCATTTAAACCTGTAGAAAAGGATCGATAAACGGAGTGTTCGCAGCGAACACCTTAATGATCGATTCTTCAGCATGAATTTAAATGGCATAACAATCGATATATCGCAATTCACGCCACGCCACTGCGAGAGAGGGACGTCGCGACCGGCTAGCTGTTGAATATGAAGCTACGCAGCTCAAAGTGAGATCTGTTAAGTTTCGTCGATATATCATAGACGCAGTACAGTTGTCGCACGATAGGACCTTGGACTGTATTTTCTGGCCCAAGTAAAAAAAGAAGTATGATTTTTTTTAAATTTTATTTTCATAAATACTTTAGTGTAAAAATGATTTGGAAATATTTTTCTCTCCTCCCCCCCCCTTCTTCTTTTTTTTATTCCGTCTCCTCTTCCATCTCACTGTTATGCATTTTTCGATCTCTTAACCCTTAAACGCTATGTGTGATCTCCGAAAGCCCCATAGATAAATTCACACTCCTCCCTATCGAAAATCACCTTTCAGAAGTGAAGCATATTAACTCAAAGTTCAACGAGAACTAAATGAGCATTATTGTCTGGGGAAATCGTTTTGAAATTAGGGGAATGCGTCACTCCTTTATGCCATCACTTAGAAATAAATCCATCATAATGTCTTTGCTTTTGGCCCTTTTTGGTATTAAATTTGGCAATCATATTTCCATAACCACGTGCTGTGAGTACAAACTCAAGTCGGCCATCAGAACCCAAAAGAAAATCTATTCATTTGGAATGTATACTGTATACTCGAATTCAAGTGCGACGCCAGAGACAAAAGCCGTAAGTTCATTAACACGCCTTGTGCCGTATTATCCTCCTCAAATAGATACCGTTTTCCCCTTCTAGTATATGGGAACGCGAGGCTCTGACATTAAGAAGAATACTCTCAAGCTTGTTTAAGGCCGTGCGCATGCCCGCGAGAGTGCAATATGCATCATCAATCGAGAGTGCGTTTAAGGTTAAATCTGTGCTCAAAAGAGAAAGTAAAAAAGGGGAAAAAATAGTCTGAAATAGATACGCTTCGTAGATTTGCACAGAGGCATCATCCAGAATACTCTTAGTGCAACGTATTTCTGCCAGATGGAACTAGAGATAGGTGGGAAAGAAGGGGTTTGCTCGTTAGTTAAAAGGGCTGTAAGAATAAATGGGAATTATAAAGCGCCAGTGACATCAGCGGCCGCCGCTATCGCCCGCGTCCGCATTAACTCATGAACCCTGCCCAAAACGATCTTTCGCGATGCCCGCAGCTAATGAGTGCCACATACAGTTGTCGCTTAGTTCCTTTTGGAAAATGTAAAATCCCGCTTTTCCATTTCCCTGAATGGAATAACGCCCTTTTTTACATTGATTCATATGCAGCTTTCTAGAGCACACCCTATCTATCCCACTCGTCTTTCATGCCGTTTAGCAGAGATACGTCCTATAGGTCAGTTGCGCTGGTCACAGAATCGTGTTTTAATGCTGGATTCTTGTATATTAGCTAAAAGAATAAGATCCGTCCAAACCGCAACTTTCAACGTTCAATATTAACCGAGATATCGCCTTTTGAAAAGTCGGGTTTCAGACGTCATCCACCGTGGTAGTGGCACCCTTGGTTTCTTCCGCCTTCCTCTCATCCACTTTTCACGTCAAACAACCAGTAAAAATGTGCGTCACACCGATTGATGAAAACAAGGTTGAAGACACCAAGGGTGTCACTACCGCGGTGGATGACGTCTAAAAGCCGACTTTTCAAAGGCCGATATCTCGGTTAAAATTAAACGTGGAAAGTGGCGGATTGGACAAATCGTATTATTCCTAGATGATTTACAAGAATCAAGTCTCAAAACACGATTGTGTGACTATGACAACCAGGGCCGGATTTTCCTACTTGCCGTCCATGGGCCGCCTGTATTTTGCCGCCCTCTTCTCATTCGTTTTGAAACATCAATAAAAACCATCTAGTGAACGTGCCAGTGGGGGGAGAGTGCATAAGACGCGTTTACTCGTGTTGAACACATTTTTTGGGAAAGCCCTATCTCTAATGGACAAGGCCTTCCATTCATAAGAAATGATCGATAAAATTATGAAAGAACAAACACAAAATTTGGTTTAATGATTTTAACTTCCGCCGCCGCGCCGCGCCGACCGCACCGTGTTTGGCGCAATGCGTGAACTATTCACGCAGTCTTGTAGGCGCTATGCGTTTCACGCTGACTGCACTGTGTTTGGCGCAATGCGTGAAGTATTCATGCATTCTTGTAGGCGCTATCCGTTTCACGCTGACCACAATAACCGCACTGTGTTTGATGCAATGCGTGAAGTATTCGTGCAGTCCTGTAGGCGCTAATATGTGTTACATGCCGATTGCCGCGCCGAGGGCTTCTCCTATTCATCTCAAGTCCTCGTCATCATTTCTCCCTAAGTCCAGTTCTGGTTCCAGGCCAAATTGTGTGTTTGGTTTCTCTCTTAACTCGACTTATTGAAGGTGCTGTCTCTTGTATCACTTATGGAAGACGACAAAATTAGAAATTACTGTACTCTCAGGAAATGAGAGATTTTGTAGCCTTTTCTCGTTTGTAATTTTTTTTTTCTAAATCCGATTTTTTTTATACCTACATTTGAAAATTGCAAGATTTGCCGCCATGGGTCGCGGCCCATGTGGGCACCCCCTTAATCCAGCCCTGATGGCAACTGAGCCATTAAGCCATGGACTAGAATATTCTGGTGGAGATGATGCTTAGTCTTACCTGAGGAGGGTGGTAACATGTGCGAGCTGAGGTGGCTGTTGACGGTGGCGGTGGAGTCGCGGGAGGGGTGGTGGGCGCTGTGGTGGTTGTTGTGGTGCCCGTTGCCGTTGCCGTTGAGGGTGGCCGAGTGGGCCGAGTGGGGGCGCCTCGGGGAGGTGGTGGTGACCAGGTTGAGCGGCTGAGGCTGCGGCTGCGGCTGGGCCGGCGACACCGACTGCGGGATGTCCACCATGCTCGTCGGGCTCCGGTGCACCATGTCCGCGTACGCCATCGCCCCGTAGCTCCCTCGCCGCCCCTCCCGCCGGTTCCCGTCGATGGCCGCCTGCAGCTCCGACGGCGAGCTCAGACGCTTCTTCTCGCACTCGTACGGGTACAGGTATTTCATGTATCTGAAACAGTCAAACGAACAACCATTAATATACGCTTTCCTACTGACTCAACAACGAATTCTTCCATTTCCCACCATGGGCGGCTGCAAGAGGAAACGTACGTCTCCTCCGAAAAAAGGAGGAAGAAAACGGGAGGAAAGGGGAAGAAAACGGGAGGAAAGAGGAAGAAAACGGGAGGAAAGGGGAAGAAAACGGGAGGAAAGAGGAAGAAAACGGGAGGAAATGGGGAAGAAAATGGGAGGAAAGGGGAAGAAAACGGGAGGAAAGGGGAAGAAAACGGGAGGAAAGGGGAAGAAAACGGGAGGAAAGAGGAAGAAAACGGGAGGAAGGGGGAACAAAACGGGAGGAAAGGGGAATAAAACGGGAGGAAAGAGGAAGGAAACGGGAGGAATGAGGAAGAAAGGACGCTCAGGTTAGGTAGTTATTCATGACGAAATTGACTCGAACAGCATAAATATGCTTCAAAATTTCGAAAATTTTCTGAAAGAAGCTTTGCGGGACCCTTTCCACCCCTCCCGTATGAGGTGTCTGGATCCGCCTATGTTTACCGCCAAGAAATAGTTTTTCTTGAATTTAGAATGAAGGCTGCTTATACCTCAAGCAAAGGTGGATAGAGAACAGTTGTCTCATTTCGATTTTGGCTGCCATTTTGAAGATTTGACGTCAAGGGGTTACGCGGGTACGGGTTTTGCCGTGCGACCCAAAGTCGGACCCGATGTGCCCGATACCGTGAGACGTCAAGAGGCTACGAGATGCGACCGCCATTCTTCATTCGCCTTGAATTTAACGTCTTTGCTTAACCCAGACCTTCTCATTTTTTGGGAGAGATTCAGCTTGATTGTTCGTATGTATTGTATCGGTCACTTTAACAGCGCCTCAGGGCGCTCTGCGACACTTTGCAGTCGTTGAAATATTGATAGCCAAAGGCCGCAACCACGTCTCTTCCAAAGGTGCCACCGGAAACCAGAAAACGGGAGTGCCGAAAAATTTAAGATACTAACTTATTGGTATCACTGTTTAGTCAAGTTTCTAACTGCACTGAAAAAAAACTCCGGCCGTGGGAGCCGCAATTACGGGCTACATAGACATACCGTCCGTTCCGGGCTCAAAGGCCGAAAATTCCGGCTGCTGGAAGCGTAGCTTCGATTGCTCCGGTTCAGAGGCCGAAGCTACGGCTCCAGCAGCCGGAATTTTCAGCCTTTGAGCCCGGAACGGACGGTTTGTCTATATAGCCCGTAATTGCGGCTCCCACGGCCGGAGTTTTTTTTTCAGTGTGGGGAGAAACAGAGGAGTGTCGTATTCCGTTTTGATCATCCTCGTTTTCTCCATCTTCATACGCAGCTGAAGAATTAGGTCTGTGATTTCGAAGCCGAAAGACTCGCGTTCGATGCTGCCCACGTGACAACGGCGTTAAGGGGTTGAGAGGGGCGTGCTCGCGCGGGGGTGGNGTGGGGGGGGGGGGGCACGTCCCGAAAAATGAAAAATGATGGCGGGAAACCGGGCGTGCGTCGCGACGCGAAACACTCGGATTCGATTTTTTAATTAGGATCTCTCACTCTCATCCGCGGCAGTGTCATCGCTGGCATCATGACGTCGTCCTCGCGAGCATCATCATCGCGCTCCCGTTTAATGTAGATTAATGGATTTCCTCACGGGACTCAGGGGTGGGTGGCGGGGGTTGGGGGGGGGCGGGCGGGTGTAGGAACCGGCGTTTCGCTCACCGTATGGGCGGTCCCGCAGACTCAATCGGGGATGTCATGGAGCTTTCCCCATTAGTACTTTTGTCTCTAGGGATGAGGAGGCCTCTGAACAAGGTATGAATTGAAGCACTACGCAAAATTTGTTTTCTTCAAAATTTAACGTGAAGCTAAGAGATTCATCAACATTGTTTTTCCTTGTTTAGTTTAAGTATACTGATTGCATACTTATTCTTTCTTGACCGATTTTTCCGAGAATAAATGCACTGAAGGCCTTTTTGATTGTGACAGCTCATAATAAGTTAATGGTTCTGAAAATTATTGTCCAATAACCAGGAAAACAGAAGAAGTTTATCGTTGCAAGGTTCAAGGTTGTCAAGGTATTTTTAACTAATCAAAAATGGAACACATTGTGCGGGTTAGTGACCTGTAGAAAGAGATAAGAGACAGGAAAACTTTTGCATTAAGTGCAACTTAGTCAACGCGGTCAATGAATGGGTTGCATACCCCAGGAATAAAGGAATCTGTAAGAATTCATTCGATACTTCATTGGTATTTAAATGATCCTACTCGACTAAAATTGGGTGAATTAATCTGAAATTGAAAATGAGCTCGAGACATGTAAGATTTTAGTCCGTGTGTTTCTAATATCGGGTTTTTCTCCTTACGATGATGAATTACGAAAGTACGCATCTCGATTTCGGTCTCTCGTAATTACAGCCATACTACTACTTTTTATGAGGTGAAACTTATCCAAGAATCCTCTTGTGAAGGTAAGAGATATTACAATCAAATAAACTATTGTGAAGTAATGATGGTCAATCATCCCTCTGAAAAGCAAAATTTGACGGATTTTTTTAACGCCGCAAATCCAGATGCGTTGTTTTATAGTCAAATCATCGATTATTTTTAAACTGAATGTTTGTTGTATGATTGAAAAACTTACTGTGTTCGAAGTGTGAAAGCAGCAGATGTGATTGATGACGGTAGATTGAGACCTTTGATGATTTCTTGCCATAATTTCTTGTTGATTACATCGACAAGTCCTCCTCGCTGGATGACCAAATTATAAAGCTCATAAAGATCTAATACTGATTTTGCCATTATGGGTAGCCTATTGATAGGAGTACCTGGAACAAAAAATGTGAACGTCCACAAATAAGTGCTAAAAATAAATTATTATTGCAATTTTGAAATGGTGCAATGGATCTGTGTTCTAAATTGCTGTAACTGATGTAGAAAAGAACCTCGGGTGAAAGCTGCGAGAGAACTGAATAGCGAGTCTTACGATGTGTAGTGCGTTTTGCATGCGCTACTTTGGAAGGCGTTTCACTGCCCGGCTAGATGCGACGCTCGAGGTTAGCTTTTAACAACGCCAGTAAAATTGCATAACCATTGACTGGCCCGCAGTGAACTTATGAATCGACGAGAGCTCTCTGCTTTATGTACTTTAATCTAATAAACTTAATGCCAGGTGTGTTGGCGTTAGCGTCCATTTTTACTGGACACTTGGACTTCTCGGATGTGCGCGTTAAATCACCCGTCGCTGTCCGTAATTACGACCGCGACGTGCTCCAACGTTGCGTTGCGGACACACAGCTTACGTCAGCCGGGACCGGAGAACATAGCACTGTATTTAATGGTGAGGTTTACGGAGGGCTCCACCCCCTCGCCTCCTTACGGCTCAACCCCCAAAGTTCGCTTCGGGGTGAGGATATTTATCTCTACCCCGGTATCTACGATGAAACGCCGAGACTTAACACTTTTATTTATTTTCATAGAAAATGTAGTTTAAATTAAAAAGCAACCTTTGGACAAGCTTGAATATCGATGACCATAGAGCAAAACCACGAATCTCCATCGCCATTTCCGCTCTTGTTTTAATTTTTCGAGGAGAAAGTAGCCACTTGTATAGCTTGAAATATATACAGAATATTCTGCTAACAAAGAAAAAAAATCTAGGGATTTTACAAAACAATGCGTTGGCCATATTTTCGAGGAAAAAATCAAGTAAGACAGGAAATCTGCAACGTTGCAACAGAGATGCAGGGTTTCGCACTTTGGTCATCGATTTCGTCGAAGAATTTTTTTATCCTTAAAAAAAAAGAAGGAGTTTTCTATCACCAATTGGGATTTTTTGTTATTTTTTCATTTACAAGAAAGAAACCCTGCACTGCTTTTTGAATCTTGGTTGCAATTTTTCTTCTCTTTATATTTTCATTTTTACTTTCTAAAGCATATCCGGTTCGAGATCTACGCTGGACTGCGAATTGTATTCATGATATCAAAAAATGGGCGTGACATGAAAAACTTTAGAGAATCTTAATGCGAATTTTGTGATTCCGCACTCAGCCTTTCATGCACCTTCTCACCTACTCGACTGGGAGCTCCACACTGTATTTTGCGAGCCTTTAACTTGCCTTCGTTTTTATCTATCCTCGTTTGGCCTTTCCCTCTCCTCGAAGCCACGTTATATTTTCCTCACGATCACGCGGCACAAATTTATAGCCGCCTTTTTGGCGTTTTTATCCCTTCTCACCTGTCAAGAAACCCTCCGTCACAAATTGTTTTATCGATCGGACCGCCCATCCGGCGCTCAGCAGCGGAAAGCGCTTCATTTATTTGTTGGCAGTAAGTACAAAATCGAACGCGACTAGTGTCCAGGTAGCCAATTTTAGCGATAAAAATCAAGAAAAATACCAACCGAATTTCCATTGCCCCTAAGTTATGGCAACGCCGGTGTAATGGTGCCTGCTCTGGCAGTCTCGTGTCGCCACAGCATAAAAAAGTGGTGTAATTTTCTATTCATACAATATAGCCGATACTTTGTTGAGGGGTTTTATGATTTTTAACGTGAGATATGCACTGCTTCTCCTGCCCCGGAGTTTTAATAGTTTCACTTCAGTGAGGAGTCAATAGCCGAATCTTAGATCGTTTAGTTTAAACCAGCACGATGTGGTGCTGGAGTTCAGGTGAACCCGGCTTTTCTGAGTTGGTAAGTCTTTAGGCTTAACGACTCACTGTACTATTCTAGCAGTGCGCCCGTGAGAACGAAAATATGAAAATTAAACACCCCGACATTAAAAGCGCGGAGGGAAAAAAGAAGAGAGAGAGAGAAAAATGACTAAGAACTCTCTTTCACGTTTAGCAATTTCATGTTTTGTTTTTGTTATTTAGAAAAAAGTGTCTTATTTTTCTTTGTCATATTTTGTGGGAGGGTTGAAGAATGAAAGATTTCAACTGATGCTACTGCTGATTTTTGCAGACGAATGTATACACCTCCTGTAGAATAATCGGCGGGCTGATTATGGACATAGATAGATAAAGCGTTAGACAAAGAAAAAATGGAAAATGGAGCGATTCTATTGGTTGAAAAGAAGAAATTACGATATTGCAAAACTGTTGCAACATAATCCAAATTACAGTAAATCAAAGACAGAATCACATTCACTTCTAAAAATCACGAAAAAGGGCTTTTCATTTTGAGATGAAAAGGAGTCTCTCTTAAACGATTTTAATTACTTTACATGCGGACACACGAGTGAAAAAAAAAAGATAAAGACGAATCACAGGTTTAATCTAAAACGATCACTTAAGAGTCTCACGAGCCGCACATACACGCGCTTTTTCGCCGGAAGCATTGATTGCTGAGTGGCGGAGAAAAGATCAGAAAAAACGAAAGAAATAATAAGACAAGAAAGTATAAAAATAATGAAACAAACCAGTAAAAAAATCAGTCTCTCTTTGTCTGCTCGAAATCGCTCGGCAAAAAAAAAACCCGACCGCGGCAATAAAACAATCGGAGGGGGGAACCTTATAATTTTATACATAAAAAAAAGAAATCGGACGTTTTACGAGCTTTTATTCCGAGAAAATCGGATCAAATGGAAATGAAGACGGTTGCGGGGCGTGGAGGGGGGAGGGGAGCAGGGAGGCTCCTCCCATCCCCCTCGGCGCATCCCGGTCCGCGTAATTATGGTGCCCCCGGACGAAGGGTTGGGGAACGGGATAAAACAATCGGGTTTATCCTTACTTCAGATCTGCAGAATAAATTGTGATCTGCGGTTCTTCCATTAAGTTTTCGCGTTATTAGTTTTTATCCTCGGATCCTCGCCCTCTCATTATTATTTATTCTGCCGTGCCGCGCAGTGGAGCGGGTCTCCTGAAGAGGCTGGACACTGAATTTTCGACTAAAACTGCAATTTTTAAGGTGCATCGCGCCACATTGATAATTTCAAGGGATGCCTCTTGAAGGGAATTCGATGACAAGCTGAATTTAAACCTTCACGTTTCTTATCAATTACGAAGATATCAGCTTTCAAAATTGCGGTAGCTGATGTGCATAACCACGTATCCGTTTGCAATTCTGCAGACTTCATATCATACTTCACTTCTTCTTTCGAAAACCAGTCAACGTAATTTCTTAAAAACTTCCTTGATTAATCCCCCAGGTATGATGAATATCCTGAGTGAATTTCAAGCTATGAAGTTGGCTTATTTCTCTTCGGGAAGATAAAATGGGCGCAGAAATTCTGAAACATCCCAATGAAGATAAGTGATTTCGCACTTGCCTATCGATGTTCCACTGACTCGTTCCACTGTGTGCCGATTCGAGTATTCTGATTCGAGCGAATGAGATCTCGATTGGGTGAACCGAAAGGGTGAGGGAGGATGAACGGGGAGGGGTGGAGGGGGGGAGTAGAAGCGAGCCGCCAACCATCTTTCACTAATTTGCCAGTTCGGTAAGTAAATAATGGCCGGTCGGGACTGTTAAAATTTAGTTGTCTCCGTGACTACTTTGTAGCCGTGCAGAAATTTACGAGGACTTAATGCGCCTCTATACTGAGGCCTCCGGAACCTAAAAATTTCATTTCTTTGATCTGCTGACGGGTTGACCTCTCCCTGCATTCAACATCTCGATGGCCAAAGTGCGAAACCACGTATCTCCATCGTGGTGTGTCAAATTTCAGCTCCTATTTCAATTTATCGACGAGAAAGAAGCCACCTTTTAAGCTTGAACTTTACACAAAATACTCTGCTAACAAAGCAAAAAATCTAGAAAGTCTTCAACGTAACTGTTGAACCTATGCTATACTGCTTACATCCAGAACCCCCTGACCTCTGCAAGAGAAGATATTCTTTAATTGTTGCCATTCCCACTGAATGCTGGTTTTTACTTTCTGCAATTCATACTCAAAAGAAATGTGGTTTATACTAGGCCAAAACAACGCCTCAAATACAAGTACGCACATGGTAATAACTGTCAGGCAGCGATTAAAATCGACTCGACTCAAAACGCCCAAAGACTTGTAATTTTCCTGCCAATCCCGCAACTCGTGCTCATCCCTCCGATAAATTATGGAGAAACAAAGAACTCTTCGCGATCAGAAGAAATACAAATATTCATGAACGGGTGATTCAGAGAAATGATCGAAAGATACTGGTAGTAACATTATTATAATTAAGTAATTACAAGTCGTAAAACGGACTCATGGCATAGGTCATACGGGCGCTATCCTCGTCCGAGACCGAGCTTAGCTTGTGGTGCACAATTATCTCTCTCCCCACGGTTCCTTCTTTCAATGCAAGCTCAACTTAAAGCAGATTCTACTCCTCAAGCTCCGTTTACTTATGCTTCTTCCGTCAGGATTTGCTTACATTAGTCCGAGAAAGGTGTCATGGCTTGAGAAAGCTACAAAAAATCTTAATTTAAATGATTCGACCTGTGACTCCGTGGCAAATAAATTTAGATACGGCCCACGCATTCAACAGTAGACATATTGGCGGTAAAACTCAGTAAAAAAAAACTTTCGCAGGGTTTTAGGATTTTCGCTGTTAATTGACTTTCTCAATTTGGACGAAGTTGTAGTGTTTATGGAGCTGAATTTTTGGTAAGTAATGGCTGAATAGAGAAAAGGAATTCCCCTTCGAAGTTTTGAGAGATACTTTTGTGCATGTGCATGTGCATTTCTTATCTATTCCAAACAGCAGAGCTAGAGTTCTCTTGAAAAGTTCTATGGAATTCTCGTTGAACAACAAAGGAATAGAATGTATACTCGGAAAAAGGAAGAAAAGCTGCCTTTTGAATTAATATTTAAACCGAAGAAATTTTTCATTATTCTCTCTGTGT